ACAGGGGGGGCTGTTTTTGTTGCAGTGAGTTAGGACTGCAGAGATGAAATGTCGGGGTTTTATACTTCCTATTTGACAGTGATGAATATCTCGATATCAAATTTTGTCTGTATATGGACTTTGGTTTTGATATGTTAGTATTTTTTCCTAGATTGTATTGTGGATAAGTAGGCCATCTTGTTGGTATATCCTTGTAAAGTCATACGCATTAGGCCACAATGAACTCTGAATTTGTTTAATTTTGAAAATTAATTAGCTTATTATATATAATCAATCATATACTGAATAGTAATAATACCCTTCAATAGGAACTCTTAACTTGTTCGCTTTTCAATCTTTAAATTTTATCAGGCGATCGCTTTGACTGAATACAGAAAACATAATACACAGTGAATAGCCGTCAAAATATTACAGTAGAATGTAGTTTAACTTAAAACTACTGTTTCATGTAGAGAGAGCGTGATCAACAGAAGGACTGAATAGTAATTTCAACATCGTCGATTTTAAATGTCACTTTAACCAAGGTATTGAGCTATAAAAAAAATCTTTTTCCCGGTCCTTGTGCTTTTTGTTCTTCATGCTTTGGAATTTTTTTAGGAAAATTCTCGAACTTCGACTCGTTAATTTTGTATACATGTCCAACGCTTAGAACTGAAATGATTGGAGTTTTACGTCCTACTTTTCTGCATCGTGTCCTAACGCTTAGAGTTTATTATTCTTTCCTTATTGGACTAATATATCCTACTGTTCTGTATCTTATTAGACTAATGAAATGAAATAGAGTTTTATATCCTACTGTTCTGTACCTTATTGGACTAATGAAATGTAATAGAGTTTTATATCCTACTGTTCTGTATCTTATTGGACTAATGAAATGAAATATAGTTTTATATCCTACTGTTCAGTATCTTATTGGACTAATGAAATGAAATATAGTTTTATATCTTACTGTTCTGTATCTTATTAGACTAATGAAATGAAATAGAGTTTTATATCCTACTGTTCTGTATCTAATTGGACTAATGAAATGAAATAGAGTTTTATATCCTACTGTTCAGTATCTTATTGTACTAATGAAATGAAATAGAGTTTTATATTCTACTGTTCTGTACCTTATTAGACTAATGAAATGAAATAGAGTTTTATATCCTACTGCTCTGTATTTTATTGGACTAATGAAATGTAGTTTTATATCCCACTGTTCTGTATCTTATTAGACTAATGAAATGAAATAGAATTTTATGGCCTACATGGCGCATTTCAATATCTTTTCACGATGAAAATAATCAGACCTATTTACATGTTTACAATCTTTAAAAAGTGCAGAAAAAGTCTTTAAAGAAACTATTTAATATCTTGTATGGAGATAGCTGGCACCGCACTGGTTACATGTAATGAACGACCTATTATAATTAGTGTTATCTAAGGCGTTATTAAATTATTCAGAGAATAATTTCTTGAATTTACTGTCCTTGTATAAGTCATAATTTCTCTAGGTCATGCAAATTGGGAAGTCGGAATAAATATATCAAATATATCGAAAATTTTCCAATAGGCCATGATTTTGTGACGTCAGTAATCCCAAACAGACAGGCCCACTGACCAAATAGAATACTATATTGCTGAAATTTTCCAATAGGCCATGATTTTGTGACGTCACTAATCCCAAACAGACAGGCTTACTGTTACACACGAAATAGAATACTAAATTTGATTGCTGAAATTTTCCAATAGGCGACGATTTATAAATTTGTATCTATTACGTCATTTATTAATCCCAAAATAGTTCGGCCTACTGTTTCACGTCTATACAGATAATTAGTTTTTGAAATTTCCTAATAATTCATGATTTTGTGACGTCATTAATTCCAAACTACCCAACTTGATATTCTATGTCCTAATATATTGAATGTTGAAAATTTCCATCAGCCTATGCCCATTATTGTGTAATATTTCGTAATCGTTGTTACTCGAGCGTGGAGTCCGTATCGAGCAGCCTACATATTATTTTATCATGAAGTCACGAAAATTTACATATATGAAGTTAAATGGGGTTTTATATCCTTCTGTTCTGTACCTTTTTGATCTAATGAAATAGACATTACTTTCGCAGATGGGTCTCTTTTTCCTCGACCAGGGCTTTCGTGAATCGACATGGTGTCAGCAAGTGCCTTCTTCCATGTCATATTGCGGTCATAATACGTTATGTTGCTTAAGAAGCACAGGCCGAGGCCGAATGTGCCGAATCACACACCGGTCAATGACCGAAGCCAAGTACTCAAAGTTCAACGACGGATGAGAATAAACCCAATGTAGCCGACCATTATATTTCGCCGTAACTCAGGATTTGTAAATGTAGAGCACAAAGTTGACTTAGATCTGTATTCTGCTATGCAAGTAAGTGCCACGGGTTCGAAACCTATAGACCTGTAGTCTACATAATGTATAATATATTTCTGATGCAATTGCATGTATCGGATACATACTAAAGCAGACGACTTTAGCGTGACGTACATATGTTACATAACAAGTTAACACAACACTGTCGTCTGCTATGCAAGTGAGCTACTCGGGATCGAAACCCTGCGATAGCCTATATATAATAGTGTTCGACGTATTTCTATTGCAACTGCAATACTTGTAGTAGGTCTTAAAGATGTTGACTACGCTATCGGAGAGTGGCATCGGGTGTCAGAGAGAGAACATATGGCGATAACTATACTCTACTTTCAATTTGGTCTTAACTTACGATTCCTTTGTTCTCTATTATTTGCAGGAAATAGGTCAAAGCATGGAATCAGAATGGACTTTGTACCTTGGTCGGGTGCATGCATGTCATCTCGTCGTGATTGAAGCGAAAATCAATGGCATGGCTATCAGCTGATCGTACTGACCGGCAGATTTCTTTTGTCTTGTCAAAAAAAATACGAAATTTCTAAAAAAAATCAACAATTTTGAATGGTTTGAAATTCAGAATGTAAATTTTGACTTACCAGATTTTCGATATACTGCCTGTCGCTAAGTTTTGAGATGGAATGGTTAAAATATTAAACACAATACGGAGTAATATTCTCTTGATAATTCCTAACGATCCGATTGGTTAATCACGGCAAGTGTCCGTTATTTGATTGGTCAGTCTAATTCAAGGTTAACTGATCACGTGAAAGAGGCTGTATATGGAAGAACTGTTGACTATTTACATGGTGACTTGTTTACTGTCAGTTTAAGAGAGTTCACAAGCTTTTTGATTTATTTTCCTGTGGTATATATAGTGAGAGTATATTTGATATAGGTTCAGTTTTGCTTTTATTTTGTTTTGACGGCCTGTGCCCCTCTATGTGACCTTTAGCCTACCTCGTCCGTTCTCGGCATAGCTTGAGATCATCTCTTAGGCCTAGTCGACGGTTTCCCTGTCAGTGATGTAGGTCGGAGGGGCTGACAAAAGCGTCTAGGCATTCAGATGAGACAGTAAACGGCGACCCAATGTGCTACAGGCTATTCACGTTAAAGACTCATCGACAGTTGGAAATCTAAAAAAAGAGCAGGCTAATGCCGTCCATGCATATGTGTTCCTCATTGCATATTGCATTGCATTTCATTTTTTCACCCGATTTTTTACCCCCTAGGACAGCCCCTCCCCTAAAAAGTCTAAAAAAATAATATCTAGTTCTGTTTAACGCGGCTCCACTGTAATAGGGTAGGATTTCTGATATATTTGTGTAAATGGATGTTAAAGCGCTTAGTTTTAATGGAATTTCAGGAACCACAGACTTCTCACTGGAAAATTTGAATGATACAAATTGATACTATCAGTGTCTCTGGTACACATAGAAAGTTTAGAAAACCCCTGTACAATCCCTTTAAGGTTATCGTGTCATTATCAGTTCAGCTGGAGCTTACCCTCGTTATCAGCTGTTCGTATGTACTCTTGTCGTATAGGTAGGATTCGAACCCGTGGCACACAAGTCATCAAAGTGTCAGCGTCAGCCCGATTCCATATGACAGTATTGGATTGAAACACTGATATTGTTATAGTAAAGATATCAGTAAGCCAACCCAGAGGGTGTAAAGGGCTAGGGCTCAGATAACTTTATACAATCTTACTAAGGATGATAACTGGTTAACAAATCAGACCACAAATAATTTCTCGAAAACTATACTCACCGATGCGAATCTTCTTTCTCAAATAAATTTAAAATTTAAAAATTGTTGAACATTTAGCCTAAGACCATACACTCACGTAGAAAATCCAACTAGCTTTTGATAAACTGCTAAATCAGCTACATTATTTATAATAGTTGGAAACTAGGTCAACTATCGATTGATATTTTTTCCAGTCGGAGAAAGAGACCATGGAAAAATTTGGACAGAATCTTCGTTGTAGTCTTGAAGAAAGTCGGTCAGGCGTGTATTTGTAAACATTGGGGATACTGAAGTATAATTTATCATTTAAAAAAGTACGAGATAAACACTGTGTCTTGTGTGAACTCTCCAAAACAGTCGTATAATGTGAGCTCTCCAAAAGTTATAATATTATAAGTTAAGTTATGAGGACTATCCAAATAAGCATTATTTATTATGTGAACTCGAAAACAGTCAAAAAAGTATGAGCTATGTGTACTCTCCAAATTCATACCCGAATAAGCATGAGCTACGACGACTCTCCAATATAATAAACATTATAAGCTATATATGTGGACTCTCTGAAACGTCTAAAAAAGCATTATGATTTATGTGAATTATGATTAGCTATGTGAATTGGAACTTGGAAACGAGTTGATAATCTCAGTCGGAAAGTGACATCAAGTGTTGAAGTGTAGTGAGCTTACTTCTCCTTGCTGTACGCTTTTATTGGCAAGACAGTGACAAATTTCGAGGTTTGATAACCCAAGATGGATCAGAGAGAGCAGATGTTTTTTTTTTTTTTTGGCAAGAAAGAACTCCTAGCAGACGTGAAGCACGCCATTTTTTTCTGCAGAAATTTGTTAAGTGTCCTGCAGTTTTATTTCTATCTCGGTCTTATCTCTGTTGAAAGTGTTTTAGTTTTCGGGTAAAGCATATTCTAAATTTAAGTGACCCTATATTATCTAAATTTAACTCTGACTTGAGAATATTTAGACTAGACAAATAATTTTTTATGCGCTATAGATAATCTTCGTCCTAAATTATAGCAAAAATTATCACCATGAGTTAAAGTCCACGTTGATAGTGAGTGATTACCATGATATTTTTTATTTTATTTCAACACGAGATATCATTTCATTTCTATCGAATATCGGCCGAGAAAGAAGGCCAACGACGCATTTTCTCGAAGACACGGACCCAGTGGCGGATCTAGAGGGGGCAGCCCCAAAAGGAAGTTTTTCGGACAAAAATCTCATAAATAGGTTAGAGATTCGGGTAAACTCAGATATCCCCCCCCCCCCCCCCCCTCATACTTGAATATATGAGTGATAAAGTTTTTGCCCATCTCATCTTATATTTGTGTATTTGAATAAAGGATATCGGTCAAGTAGGGGGTAGGGTCTCATATTTTGACAAGATGAAAACTGAATAAATATCAGTCACTATTCAAACAGAGAAATTTGATAGAGTTTTACATCTTACTTAATGGGGCTGATAATGAGAGAGAACGTCGTGCACTGCGCAATGAGGGAAATTTTGCTAACCGTTAACTGATTCAATGCGTACGTCTCTTAACTATAGACTATTGAGACGTAGGTGGAGTCGACCCTACCATACCATGCACCCCACCCCCCTCCCTTTTGTGAAATTGGTCACATAATGTACTTGATGCTTCTCTGACAGATCTGGATAACTAGATCAATAATTGATTGGAAATGTTGATATCGATAGATCGATTACTTTGTAATCTGATAAACCTATCTTATCTTAATTCTCCTGTCTTCATTATCCAATCAGTAGCAGAAAATAAGGACGTAAAATTCCATTTCATATCTTTTGACGTCTCAATTGATTATATACTCGGTTATCGCGATATCGTAATCGTAATAGAAAGAAGTTTTACGTCCTAGTTTTTGGTGTCTCAATTAAATAGATTGTGAGTTATCATAATGTCATACGACAACAAATAAAGTAGTGTTTTATCAATTGCGTTTTTCTGGGGAACAGAAATAAGGTCGACCCAGTTCTTCACAGCCCCACCCCCTCCAACCAAGTTACAATTAAAGAGATTGTAAAAAGGGTTTCTAGCCTTGGGACACCTTGGGCTATTTGGGACATTCCAATTCTTCGTCCGATGTCTATGGTTCCTGTTATTCCAGAAGGAGCTAACGGAAATGACGTCTAGGCCCCAGAGCCCTAAGGAATCATAGAAAGTTAGAAATGTCACCATTTTGTATATTCTGTTGCTCTATACCTGGGTCCAAACTACTGACGAGTGTTTTAGGTACACAATCCTTATAAGGACAGCTAGTTTTGAAAAGTTGGTTATGCTTAAAATTTACTTTAAAAAATAAATGCAAAAGAGTTGCGTGGCGAAAAAAAAACTCTCATAGAATAAGAACTGTTTATGTAAGATATCACACACTGAACCTCACGTCAAAGCACCCTATTTTAAAAGACCCTGATGCAATATACAATAAGACAATATTACAAATGTATAATATTAGGCAAGATTCGTCAAAGGACCCTTTCCTATACTAAAAGTCCTTTAAATATTACACAATCATGTATATTAGATACAAGATCCCGTTGAAGTTGAACATCACGCCAAGAGTCTCTTATAAATTAAATTTTATTTTAATTTCACCGTCAATATCCTATAACGAGGTCAATAGGTCATTATTATCTTTATCAAATCATATCTATATAGATAGGTATACTGGGGCTACAACACCGCCTGTTCTACGGCCCAACTTAATGGCATTGATCATTCCTGCCAGGCTGGCTGGCATTGAAGAGCGTCTAGTTGTTCTGATGAGACCTCATGTACGGCTGTGTACGTTAAAGATCCCTCGACAAATTTCCCCCATTATACACAGCATGACATTGTCCGTCTGCATTATCCCATGACGTGACGAAGAGTAGGACGTAAAACTCTATTCATTTCATTTAGTTTAATTGATCTTTCCTGGATTATCATTAACCTTATATAGCTAGGTCGACTGTTATAATGAGGAAAGATGACTTATTCAGTATGCCTTTCAGAGCTTTTATATTTTATATTTAAAGGTGTATGTAAATCGGATTGAAAGCATGTCACTCGTGAATCTGTTTACATTGCATTGTTGTTTACACATGCATGACGTGTTTACATTGCGCATTATACCTGACCTAGATCTTGGTGCACATTACGTATGATTTAAAGGGATTGTAAAGAGGTTTTCTAAATTTTGTATGAATATCTGGGACACGGATAGCATCAATTGTACCATTCCAATTTCTATCAGACATCTGCTTCCTGCTGAAACTAAGTGTTTGATGACGTCACTAATCGCAAAATATGCCTGTATCACATAAGGTTTTAGTGACGTCATCAAATACTTAGATTTAGTAGAATTACAGGAACCACAGACGTCTGACTGAAAATTGGAATGATGTAAATTGATTCTATCAGTGTTCTTCATACTCTTAAAAATTTCCAAAACCTCTTTACAATCCCTTTAATGACCTTGACCTTGGTGAATAGAGGATTTTACGCAACACACCTGGGGACCGTGATGGCATTTTGAATTTCAATTACGTTAGCAATACAGTAAATAAATACAAAGAAAAGTGCACTCAGTCACACTTTCATACGAATATATTTTAAGCATTTTTTAATTTGGGTATTTATTTATGTTAGAGGAAAAGTAGGACGTAAAAACCCGATTCCATTTCCTTTCAAAACCGAAACATTCCCGGAAATATATTAATATATTTTTGGCCATTTGGATTCTCTGAAAGGTATGTGAAGTTGAAAAAGCCTGTCCTGTCTTGTCAGCCATGTGAACGCTCTGAAAGGTATGTTAAGTTGACAAACCCAGGCGCTGAGTGGCGTCTGGCGTTGAAGAAGGGTGAGCCTCTCCTATCTTGTCAGTTTGTGAACGCTCTGAAAGGTATATGAAGTTGACAAACCTAGGTGCAGAGTGGCTTCTGACGTTGAAGAAGGGTGAGCTATTAAATGCATAAAGTAAAATACGATTAGTGCACTATCTTTGAAATCTTAAAATAAATTGGGATTAAAGTCCAAAGTTCGGTCATACATCTTGAATTATATATATAGATTATCATTTCTACTTTATTTTGATTTATTTATTTACTCTTTATAGTATTGAATGAGAAATAGAGAATTGATCAAGCAAACAGAATGGAGTTTTACTTCATACTGTTTCCTTTCTTTCTTTTGAAATTGGGAGCCGCGGTGGCTCAGTGAGTTAGACCCTTGCTCGCTAAACTGAACGTCCGGGGTTCAATCCCGGCATAGGTCGAGATGATACGTTTGGATTTTTCAACACATGGAAAAATCGTGTAGTTGTTCGGATGGGACAATTAACTGAGGCACGTTAAAGATCCCTCGACAGTTGGAAATCGAACAAGAGCGGGCTAATGCTGCTGTCCTGGCAAAATTTCCCTTATTGCACCCTGCATGGCGTTGCCCGTCTTCATCAGCCCACATGGTGCAGAAAAGTAGGACGTAAAACTCCATTCATTTCTTTTTCTTTTGAATTTGCCTTTACTCCTATGCTCGACTAGATCTCATCACGATATTTATCACGAGTGAAAAGGATGAATTTCATGAGGTGTTTTTATATATATATTAAAATTCTTCAAAAACTGTGCACACAAAACAACATTCAATCTATTTGTATTGACATATTTTATTGAGTTAGCACGATACACCTTTGATTAACATCTATAAAAGATTCCAGTTGAAAACTCACAAAACAATTCGTAACTAGTGATCGCTAAGGTGTCGGAGGTCCCTTTAAACATATGCATATTAAATATATGGCCGAGGTAAGGTACTCGTGGTCGAAGGGGAATAATCATCAACTATTTGTAGTCTGTAGTAACAATGCAAGTTCATTTACATTGGATCAAATCCAAAGAGTTGGGTACAAAGTCCAATAGGTTTCAAGTTTATTTCAATTTTGAATCCGGTTCTATTCATAATTTTATTATCGTAGTATTTATATTAAAAGAGTTAGTTTAAAAAATGTAAGCGTATGACGTAA